TGATTAGATCTCATGAATGGCGACTTGCAAATTCCTTTCGCCGTGCCCTCAAACTACATAATTCAGTTTTCCGTGAATGGCGACTTGCAAATTCCTTTCGCCGCTTCCAGAGCTAGTTCGGCGGGTGTTTGTGGCTTGTACCCTCTGACAATCTTCTCGATCTGATTGCGCAAATCAGTGTCCTTTGCCTTTTTCGCCATCTTATGCAGGTCGAGATCTTCGTCTTGATCCTCTGCCGCGACCCTGTCACGAACACTCGAGTATGTGCTGTCGGAGAAGTCTCTCTCAGAGATCTCATGCCTCTGCTTCCTCTTGCCCTCCTTTGAGCCCTCACGGCAAGCAGTGTTTTGCGCCTTCTCCAGAGCTTTTTCCGCTACCTTTCTTGTTTCGCGCAATTCTTTCATGATTTCCCTCAACTGAATAACAGCAAGGCTTGGTTCCCCATCTTGGGTGTTGGACCTTACGCTTCCGGGTCGAGGGGTGGACACCGCATTCCCCGGAATGGAGGTGTTTGGAGTTCCTTGTGCAGGTTCAGTCATGTTTATAATCAACTTTGCGAGATTCCCACAGACGGTGTCAACTGTTTGAGCATGATTTCTTTCAAGAAGAAATACCTCCACAGGTTCTTGACTGAAGTCCGCACGCTTCCTTAGTTGGAAGAGAGCTCCGATTTACACTCCTGAGGTTGAAAGATGGGAATGGGGTGAATACCTGCAAAAGTCACTCCGACGCTCAAGTCAATGTTCATGCAGCGTACTCGTAGTGGTTAATTGAATTTCATGTACCTTTGCTGGAGGTCTAGCTGGGTTCTTATAGCATTCCGAGATCTTGGGTCTAGCCCTACTTCCATAGCTTTGCGCATCCCATCCTTCACTTCATGGTAATGGGATCAGATGAGTGATTTGTGTCTCCCTTGTTCCGCACTCCTTTAGTTGGAGGCAAGTTCGATCATCCCACGTCTTTTAGTCGTGGCATATGGGCTAGGCCATGATAAGTTAGATTTGGTCCCCACAATATGTTAAAAGAGAAATGAGTGTCCAAAGCCACACGCAAAAGAACTGTAAAGAGAAGATATGGGTAAATGCAGATAGTGTCATGAACTCTGTCCTGCTAATTTCCAGCAGTTCCATTTGTTGAACATCAAGGAACTGAAGATACTCATTTGCTTGCTTAACGAGACACTTTTCATGGAATTGTTCTATGAAGTCCACCTTATTTTGGTGACGTAGATGGTTGAAGGCTTTGAGACTGTTTCATCATGATGACTGGCTATGATGGCTCTATTGAAAAGCAACAACATGATGGTTGGACTGATCTTAATTTCTTGTACATGGTGGTTTGACATAGAGTAAAGCATCGTAGAGTTTTTAAGGATGAACACCTTGTATAGGCTATCTCGTGTGACCTTGTGTAGAAGTTTGAATTCTAATTGTATTCCTTTGTGTAAATATTACAATATTTATAATTGCACAATAAAGATGACAGGACCCGCCCCAAATTCCTCGGAACGTGGGACGAGTCCTGTGGAAATTTCCGACATCACACCGATGCCGGGCTCACTTACTAAACACTGAGACTTTCTACCAAAATTTTGGTAGAGGCTCCCCTCTAAATTGAACATTTCCCTAAAATTTTAACCTGCACAAAATTCACAATTTAATATCCCAACAGGCAGCATGCACAAATTAATTTCATGCAAATCACATAATCGGCCTCCGGCCTTCACATAATTGGAAACAGAACAGCCAGCAATGTTCTTAAATCAAAATAATGCATTAAACGATGTAGATAACAAATTCAAACTTATTTATAAATGCCCACTGCAAATAACATAAATTAATTCCCAAATTATTTAATCATACGCAAGTAGTTTAAGGCCTCAGCCCAAAACATACAACAATCCAAAACGGGTTTTATATATATTTTAACCAGAACAAATTTACACAACCCTCTCTTAACCAAACAGAAGTATGAACAACTATTCAATCGCACCTCGGTTTCAGCCGAGTATCAGGACTAATGACAAGGTCAAATATAAGTAAATTTTAGTCTGCAACTGCACCTAGATAAGATCCTAGGCTACCTACGTACCCCCTATGAGGGATCAAGCCACACGTAGTTCTTACACAAAAATCCCGGTTCCAATAACATAAAATCCATTATAGCAATACAAAATAGTAAATTCTAGAATTATTCCTTTCCCTTTTCTTTAAATCACAACCAACCAAATATAATCTTTTTCAAACATCTAACTTTCCCAATATAGTATACAAACATTTATTCATCTCCCTGTTATTTTATAATCTTCCCATATGCCGAAAAATCCAACGCCATGTATGGAAAGTGTCTCACACGCCGGAAAATCCAACACCACGTGTGAGACCATAAAATCACATATTCTTCTCATACGCCGTAAAATCCAACGTCACATATGGGAAGTGTCTCACACGTCGGAAAATCCAACGCCACGTGTCAGACCATCAAATCACATATTCTTCTCATACGTCGTAAAATCCCACGCTACGTATGGGAAGTGTCTCACACGCCGGAAAATCCAGTGCCACGTGTGAGACCATCAAATTACATATTCTTCCCATATGCCGGAAAATCGAACGCCGCATATGGGAAGTGTCTCACATGCCAGAAAATCCAACGCCACGTGTGAGACTTGATAATCACATATTCTTCCCATACACCGAAAAATCTAACACCACGTATGGGAAGTGTCTCACACGCCGGAAATTTCAACGCCACGTGTGAGACTTAACAATCACATATTCTTCCCATAAGCCGGAAAATCCAACGCCACGTATGGGAAGTGTCTCACACACCGGAAATTCCAACACCACATGTGAGACTTAACAATCACATAGTCTTCCCATATGCCGGAAATTCCGACGCCACGTATGGGAAGTGTAGTATCTGAGGGATGGTACACAACATATATATAATTCATATTCCGAATAATTATAAGTCTCAAATATCACAATAATAATAGAGATATTCACAATTTAGCGATACAAGTCTATAGTAGACTGCAACGTAATTTAATCAGTGGAAATAATATTATTTTTAAACCAACGATCATGCACATAAACATAAATTTCATAAAGATCCTAAAACAATTTAAATAGAACTCAATGCTTGTTTTCACACAAATTCCATAAAATACTGTACCACACAATTAGAACATTATACTTTATTTATAATCAAATGATATTAATTAATGATAAGCAACAACCTTTAAAGAAAATTCCAAATCAAATCAATTTCCAATTTAACCTCAAATAACTATTAAGACTCGATTAAAAGGTTATCCTAATACTTTTCGAAGGGTGAACTACCTCGGAAGACTCACGTTCAATCGAGGGGTCCAAATGCCCAACTTGGTCAACCAGGCTCGCGGGACCCACGACCTCTGTTTAGCAAACCTGAAATTCCTATGAGTTCCTCTAAGTTTAGAATATACCTCTTGCAAGTTCGGTCCAAATCGAATGGCCGGAACACTCGCAATTGTACTATCGGACGGTTATCGCAAAACGCAAACTTTACGTTATTGAATTGGAACATTCGAGGCTCTGATTCACGATCCGCGAATTCCTACACGATACTAAGGATGTCTTGATTAACATATATTAATTTGGGTTCGATCCAACGTCTGAACCTATCGAACCCGGAAATCACACACTAGGCAAAATCCGTTCGACGCTCAACGGATTCCAAATTGGAATCCGAGCACACCTACGCGCTTGTGACAACTAGGAGACCATTTTAAGATAGTATGTAGCTGAACCACTCTACCCACACTCAGCCACGTGCGTCGGCAACGCGTGGGTATCCAAAGTGATACCACCCGCAGGAAAATTTCAAAATCAAGGGCCAAGCTTCCTACCCTAGGTTTAGGACATCAATTGGAGCTACTTTTGTTCTTGCACCTACCCCGAAAAACAAGCGGGAGTGGCCGGAATTTCACTTTGAAATTCGGCCAAAAGCTAACTTCTAAATCGAGTTTCTAAACCCAACTATCGTCCAATTCCTACATAACAGGCAGCTAGAGCGTGAAGAATAGGTGAGAAATCGTACCTTGGTTGCTGGAGATGGCTGTCGAAATCGGCTGTAGCGACGTTGTGAACAATCAGAGAAACTAGTCGATATCGCCGGTGAATCTCGAGCTCTCTAGCCGGGAAAAGGGGTGGGTCGTGACTGGGGTGTCAAGACGAAGCGAACGGGACTGGTGCCGGCCCTTGCTATAGCCTGAGCTGAGAAAATCGAAAAGAGAGAGAGAGAGAGAGAGAGAGGAGAGAGAAAGTTGCGCCTGTGAGCGCGCGCGAGGAGAGAGAAAGGCAGTTTCCCCTTTTTCTACACCCAAGTTCGAATTATTTACAAGTTTGCCACTGAACTAATTTTGGTCACCAAAACTTCGTTACAACTCCGATTCAAGCCTACCACATGTCTACAGACTCGTCTCAATACGACCTACGTAACCATACCACTCGTTGTCCCAAAATACTTTTGGATAAGAAAGTGACCAAATTACCCCTACCCCAAGGGTAAATTTGTAATTTCAATTAAATTATTTAAATGGGTAATTAAATTTGGAGTCGGGGTGTTACAAAAGATATAAACGGTAAGAGCCTTGAATGACAGTAAATACAAAATATTTGGAGAGCAAGTGAACTATTGTGATTAAGAAGAATCCGCTATAGATTCTTCTTCCTTGATGAGTGCCTGTGGTTTAACACCCCCCGTAAACTGAGCAGCTTTGGACGAACAAGTTTGGAACATAAGAGATGGCGTGGCTTGTGAAGTGGTTTAGTGAGAAGATCCGCAGGTTGATCAACAGAGGGGATGAAGCAGACTTGATGACTCCCAAGGGCCACATTCTCGAGAACAAAGTGGCGATCAAGTTCAATGTGGTGAGTACGCGCATGGAATACTGCGTTTGCCGCCATATAAGTTGTGCTGAGATTGTCACAATGCATGAGAACTAGAAAAGGTAGTCAAACCCCCAGTTCATGTAACAGAGAACAGAGCCAAGAAGATTTGGCGCAGGCATAAGCAAGAGCACAGTACTCAGATTCCACACTGGAGCGCGAAACTGTTGGCTGCTTTCTGGAGCACCAGGACATAAGATTTGAGCCCAAGTAGATGAGGTAGCCAGTTGTTGAACGGCGGAAGTTTGGGCACCCAGCCCAATTGGTATATGAGTAAATGATGAGACGAGTGGAAGGATCTTGGGGTGTAAAATGGAGGCCAAAGTCAATGGTGCCCTTAACATAGCGGAGAATCCTCTTGACGGCAACCATGTGAGGAGAGCGAGGAGAGCTAATAAACTGGGCCACAGTGTTGACTGCAAAGGAAATATTTGGGCGGGTAAAGGTGAGGTACTGAGGACTCCCTACAAGTTCACGGTATTCTGTGAGAGAAGTGAGCAAGTCACCAGCACTGGCAGTTAGAACAGACTTGGCTGCAAAAGGAGTGGAAGAGGGCTTGGCATGTTGGAGATTACTCTTGTGTAACAAATCATGAACATACTTGAGTTGATTGAGATAAAAAGCACCATTATGAGAAACAAGCTGTAAACCCAAGAAGTAAGTAAGAGGACCAAGGTCCTTGATGTCAAATTGGTGCTCAAAAGCGACATAAAATTCTATAAAAGAGAGGACTCACTGCCAGTAATCATAATGTCATCAACATACAAGAGGAGCAAGATGGTGTGAGATCCCTACTGAAAAATAAAAAGTGAAGAGTCTGCCAAACTTCTTGAAAAACCAAGGGATAAGAGGAAGGTGCTACTACGATTAAACCATGCATGTAGAGCCTGCTTGAGGGCATAAAGAGACTTGTGAAGTTTACAGACATGAGTGGGATGAGCAAGGTTCACAAAACCAGGGGGTTGGACCATATATATGTCTTCTTGAAGGAACCCATGAAGGAAGGCATTTTTGACATTGAGTTGTCGTAAGGACCACCGACGGGAAACAGCAAGACTGAGAACAGTGCGAATTGTGGCGGGTTTGACAACAGGGCTGAAGGTCTCAAATTAGTCAATGTCAGGGCGTTGATGAAATCCCTTAGCTACTAGGCATGCCTTCTAGCATTCAATAGTGCCATCAGAGTGACGCTTGATGCGGAAGACCTATTTGCAACCGACTGGAGTATGTGTGGGAGATGGAGGAACAAGAGACCAAGTTTGATTTCGTAGCAAGGCATTGATTTCTTTAGACATTGCCGCGTATCATGTTGGTTGTTTGGAAGCCTAAGAAAAACAAGTGGGTTCAACATCATCAATGACAGTTAAAAGAGCACGAGGGACTGAGTATCAAACTGTGTCGTCGGTGCGGTTTTTACTTTAGGCTAAGAGATGCAATCATGCAGACGTGTGCGCATGGGATGAGCAGGCTCTGGTGGTGCTGGTTCGATAGGTGGTGGAGGAGTTGGGTCCGTAGAGGCAAGGGGAGCAAGGACTAGCGTAGGTTCCATAGATGGTGTGCACGGTCAGGGTCGGTACTGTGCTTTGGGGTGGAGACTACGGCTTGTGGAAATATGGAGGTGCTAAAAGCTTGTGGAAAGATAGAGGTGCCGGAAGCTTGTGGAAAGGTAGAGGTGCCGGAAGCTTGTGGAAGGATGGAGGTGCCGAAAGCTGGTGGAATGATGGAGGTGCCAGATGCTTGTGGAAGAATGGAGATGCCGGATGTAGAGATGGCAACGGGCCAGTTAGGGGCCGGGTATGGCAATACCATCCCCTTCCCTGCTCCCCACCCCGCCCCCGCCCCAATCCCCAGTTTAGGCTTTTCAGGGAATCCCCGTCCCCGTCCTCGTCAGGGAAGGGCCTCCCATACCCGTCCCAATCCCCGATTTTTAATAAGATATTTCTTGTTAAAATGATTTTCTAAAGCACAGTCACATTATTGTGAAATTTTAAAAACAGCCACCACAAGATATTTCTTGTTAAAATAATTACTCAACAAGGCAAATGAGGACACAAAACTTGAAATAATTTCTCAATCCAAATCTTTAGGAACTTTTTCAGTAAGCACAATAAATCCAGCTAGTCATAAATTAGAAAACCAATCCTAAAGAAATATTAATAATATTCTGTCATGAAAGAGATGTTCTCTGTTTCAATGGTAGACTCTTACAAAATAATAATACTAATAATAATAATAATAAGATAAAGACATTACAATTATTTAAAAGAAAATGAGAAACTGGCCAATATAAGAAAAATTCATTTAAAAAATTAAAGAGAGCTATTAAATATAAGAATGTTACCTCTTCCTCATTATTATCAACTTCTTCATCTTGAACGGTGACTCTTCTAGCTTCGTTCTCATTAGAGCTTGAAGCTAATAGTATAAAAATATATATATATATTAGAAAACAATAATAAAATGTTTTACTTAGTATGAAAAATATAACCACAAAAATATTTCAATACCTCTTATCTCACTCCATAATCAATCGCGAGCGCACATCAATGCCTCTACTGTTTTTGAATGAAGCCGGCTACGATGAGGGCTTATAATCCTTCCACTAGTACTAAAGAAAGACTCTGAAGCAACTGTGGATACAGGAATAGCCAAAATATCTCTAGCAATATCATGCAAAGTAGGATATTTGATCCCATTTGATTTCCACCAACATAATATATCAAAATCATCATCATCATTCTTAGGTAAAAGAGACTCTTCTAAATAATGATCCAACTCAAATTTAACATGTCCATGGGTAGTGGAGTGGGAAACAAACACATCCAATTGCTTTACCAAATCAAGTTTAGGCATAGATGGTCTAGATGAAGAAGTAGGAATCAAAGATTCAGATTGCACATGTTGACTTTGTAGAGATCTTGACTGATACTCCTTGACCAAGTCATAGAGAATATCTTTATATTTCCTAATCTCTTGAGCTGCATTGTTTGAATATATTAGAGGGCATAAAAATTCAATTTTTTTCATCTTGAACCTTGGATCCAAAATACTTGCAACTCCCATCAAACCATGCATTGTATCCCAATATTTCTCAAACTTTGTTTGCATATGTAATGTCATTGCTTGTACCTCTTCTTGTTCAGAACTAAGCCAATCATAAATTGCTAATCTAATAGCACAAATATTCTTAAAGTAAAGATTGGCAGTAGGATTCTTGGTCCCTGAAAAAAGGATAGTCACATCATAAAACATGGCCAACTTATCAACAAGCTCCTTTGTCTTTGCCCAATCACTTTCACTAGGCACTTCTTTGTACAATGGCTCACGGTGCTTCAAACAAGGAAAAACATCTTTGTATATCATTACAGTCTTAAGCATGGAATATGTAGAGTTCCATCTAGTCTTACAATCAAGTTCTAACACTTTAGAGGTTGGAACTCTCAACTGCCTGGCCGCTTCAAGAAATTTCTCCTCTCTTTTTTGGGTTCCTAGCCAAAATGCAACACTCTACCTAATTTTCTCAATACTCTTTTAAATCACCTCTAAGCCATCTCTCACTACCAAATTCAAAATATGAGTACAACACCGCATGTGGAATAAACGTCCATCTAACATAAGTGAACTCGAGCAAATCTTATCTAACACTATCGCAATCATGGAATCATTTGTAAAACAATTATCTACAGTTAAGGTAGACAACTTACGGTCAAGATTCCATTCGAACATGCATTCCAATAAAGCATCAGCAAGTACCTCCGCCTTGTGTGGACATGGAACATATATAAACCTATAATAAAACCCAAATAAGTCACAATCTAATTATTTTTTTAAAAAAAGGATTAATAATTCAAATAAGAAAAGTGTTGGTACCGTAACTGACCGAGCAACTAGCTAGGCTAGATCATCCATGTGCCATGCATTGAGAGGTCGTCACCTTAACCAAAGAAGCATTACCACAAGTCACAACTCTAAGCAAAGCAAGAAGAGGAGTCCCACATCGGAAAACTACAAGAAATGGAGACTCCCCTTCACCTATAAAAGAAGACTACTCTTCCCTGAGAAAGGGACTCTCTCTTCTGGGTCCCAGGACTGGGCTGAGCTTCTCACTTGTTATCTTTATATTTGGATCAAGCCCCATGTACAAATGTAAACATAGATTATTATAATGAGAATATACTTCTCCGTGGATGTAGCCCATTCATTAAGGGTGAACCACGTATATCTCGTCTTCTTTATATTTATCGATTGCCCAAATCTTCACACACATGCTGGGAGCATAGCACAAGGAGAAGGCAATCCTTTCGAGTCAGCCTTGCCGAGGCCTCCCCGGCTCCTTCCAATTTACAGCACAACCCTGCTCCGAAGCAGACCCAGCTCCAGCTGTGTTAGCCTTTCAGAAATTACGAAACAAAGAAGTCCCGACTAAACGTGTCGAACGACAAGTCCGCTGCAAATCCACCCAAGCTCCAACCCGAGCTTTCAACAAAAAACTCTTGCCAAACCCAACCTTGCTGAAGCTGGAATTTGCAACAAAACCCTCTCGAAACCTTGCCGATTAGCAAGTTTGTTGAAGGTAGGCGGTACAACCCGATTCTCCTCCTTCAAATCGCCTTGTTTACCTCCTTGTCCTTGCCGAAGACAGATTTTCACCAGCTCACTTTTGCCTACACAGGGGGTCTCACGGAACTATCTTACCGAAGCTAGGATGTGCCGAAGCTGAGGATTTGCTTGCGCCACAAGCTTCTTCCAAGGGACTTGCCGAATGACAGGATTTGTAAAACAACAAAGGAACTCACGACCCTTCTACAAAAAACCTTAGCACCTTATCCCATTTTCGGAACCTTACTGAAGCCCAGCCCCGAAACTATGCCACACTCCAAATGGCCCAGCCCATGTCAAAACGAAAGGCTAGGTCCCAGCTCTAGCAGCCTGCCTCAACTCCTTGCCGAAATCCCAATGGCCCAAGTCTAAACCTTGTGCTCACTAAAGGCCCTTGCTGAAAGCCTACCATGTTACGCCAGGCCTCATCTTATGCCAAAATAACGAGCCTTTTTGCCGAAGGTACTCAACTAAGCCCAAACTCGAGGGACTCAACCTATTTCCAAACGGCAAGGGTCATGTCGTTTATCTGGACGGCCCACATACAAGTCTTAGCTCACTAAAGGTCTAGCCTTTTTACATTTAAAAAAAAAACTATTATTATTATTATTTCTTAAAATTAAAAAAAAAATGCACATATGCATTTCTTCCCTTCAGCACCCTCGTGCCTTCGGCATCCCATTTGCCTCTGGCACCCCTATGCTTAAGCACATTCTCTTGCAACATGCAAGTTTTATACATTCGGCACCCTCCTGCGTAGCCATATCGCCTTGCGACATGCAAGCTTTATGCTACCTTCGGCATCCCCTTTGCCTTCATCACCCTCTTACTTAGCCACATCGCCCTGTGACATGCAAGATTTGTTGCAACTTCTCTCCTTCCAATGTCTTGCTTACCCGGGGACTTGGGGGACTATGAGTAGTGCATTATACAGCTTGGAAGACGAACTGTGGTGTTGCTCGGCTAGTGCACTTAAAATTACAAGTCCCCAATCAAGAAGTACCTTCTTACTCTCGAACTTGGGGGACTACTGTTGGTACCGTAACTGACCGAGCAACTAGCTAGGCTAGATCATCCACGTGCCATGCCTTGAGAGGTCATCACCTTAGCCAAATAAGTATTACCACAAGTCACAACTCTAAGCAAAGCAAGAAAAGGAGTCCCATATCGGAAAACTACAAGAGATGGAGACTCTCCCTCACCTATAAAAGAAGACTACTCTTCCCTGACAAAAGGGACTCTCTTCTAGGTCCCAGGACTGGGATGAGCTTCTCACTTGTTATCTTTATATTTAGGTCCAGCCCTATGTACAAATGTAAACATAGATTATTATAATGAGAACATACTTCTTCGTGGACGTAGCACATTCATTAAGGGTAAACCACGTATATCTCGTCTTCTTTATATTTATTGATTGCCCAAATCTTCACACACATGTTGAAGACCCACGTCTTCACATATCATCCATTGTTTCACCTCTATCTAATATGGCCTCCCAAAAAGAGCATCAACAAAAAGTATAATACATTTACCTTATTAGTTGGCTTTGTAAATTACATGCATCATGAATGAAATGTGATGTAATAGTCATGAATCCTCTCTTTTGATTATTTGATGTCCACATATCCGTTGTAATGGCAATTCTACTTTTGTTGGTGTCCAACAACTTCATTGTTTTCTCCCTCTCAACTTCAAAAACCTTAAATATGTCCTTGATTGTGTTTCGAGAGCACACCTTAAATAATGGTTGCAAAGCATTGGAATACATCTTGAATCCAATATGATCAACCATGGATAATGAATACTCATGAAGAATAATCATATTTGCAAGTGCCTTCCTAGCATGGTCGTGGTCAAAATTATAAGTGCCAAGTTTGACAGTCCCATCACTCAACTTTGTAGGATTCAACATTGATTGATCTATGGTTCTTTGTCTTTTATAAAGATAAGACTTTACATGATCAAGTAAATGTCTAGCCCCATTCTTGTTACTTGCACCTAAGATATTCTTATAATGAATGCACACAGCTTTTATTTGACCTCGAATTTCTTTCTTTTCAAAATGTTCCTAAGCAGGAGATCTACCTTTCCTTTTATTCACAGCAGTTTGAGTTGAAATTGTGGCTTTCGTGTTGTTATTTTCAGTTACTGCAAGATTGCTATCATTTTCATTTGGTGTAGGGTTGTTATCCTCCTCAATTTGGGTTTCAGGAACTCGAGTCTCTTCATTGTCGTCACCCATCTAGGAAAAAAAAATTATAAAGACTGATACATCAATTGGAAGGTACAATATTAAACAATAAGAAAAGAATTAGTAACGACAAAAAAATAAAATAAAAAATAAAATTCCCAGCAAGGTTGCCTCTTGGCATGGTATTGAAGGGCACTCCATACAATGGTTTTGCATGGTTTCCATAGATCGAAAAGGTACAGATTTTATTGAACTAATTATTGTTAGATTTTCTTTTGTTATGTCTTATTGAAATATATATATATATATATATATATATGAACATGTTGGTGCCTTTTATTCTCTCAAAAGGAAAAGAATAGAGGATGCATATCAAAAAAGGTACAACTTTTATCAAAACAAGGCATGCATATCAGACAAAGAACAACTTTTATCGAATCAAAACATGCATATGCCATGCAGTTGAAACAACAAAGTAAAACAATATTAAATTATCAAATTAAAACAGCTTTTGTGGTGTTAATTGCTTTAGAGACAACAAAGTAAACAATATAAAATTATTAAAGAGAGAGAATCTTGCTGGCAGCGAACTTGATTTGCAGTCGAAACTTGAATTGCAGTCACTTGCTCAAAGAATTTTAGAAGATAGCAGCTCGTGTAGGAGGAAGGAATAAGGAGCGACAGACAGACATCGACTCTCTAGGGCAACTTTGATTATTATATTATATTATTTGGTTAGAAGAGCCATCACGGTGAGAGAAAAATGGTTGAGACTGAGTGGCCATGAGAGCCGTGGACTAGCTAGTGTGAACAGGATTGGTGCAAGGAGTCTGAGCTTCATATGAGAGAAATCGAGCATGCAGGTAAGCAAAATCAGGAAGAGGAGGAAAATTTAAAAGACCTATTACCAGCATTTTGTAATCAGGACCCAAACCATGAAGAACGCCAGTGAGAGATCCTTATTGGAGACGGGCTCATTGATGGCAGCAAGAGAGTCCGCAATAGATTTGGCTTGACAAAGGTATTGGTCCATAGTTTGTGTTCCTTTTTGCAAGTCCATGAGTTGAAAACGGAGGATTGATTTGCTATCCAACGAAGTCTGAGAGAAGTGGTGTTGTAAGCAATCCCAAATTGCTTTTGCGGAAACACAACCAATGGTGAGAGACAAGACTGATTCAGATAGAGTGCTGGTGAGGTAACTGACAATGAGTTGGTCTGGTTGAAACCATGTTTCATAGGTAAGATTAGGTTGAGGAGGATTAGGTGTTTGGTTAGGAGAGGATGCGGGTAGGGGCTGAAAAGGAGAAGGTTGAGGAGATGAGCCATCAACATATTTCCCCAAGCCATGGCCAATGAGAAAAGGAATGAGTCAAATGAGTGGTAAGTGGAAAAATCAAAGGAGATAGGGGTGGTGGTTAAGGGCGTTGAAGAGACAGGTAGTGAAATAGATGAGATTATAATAATAAGGGTGGATAGGAACGGGTTTCTCATACTATGAGACATTGGTTCTGGGGTTCCAATAATACAGTCGCCCAATGTTACCGTCGAACACTCCAGTCCATGGCGGTGAAAG